CTTGAATACACAATGAAAATGTAAATTATTTAAGAAAGTCACTATGTTTAAGAAATATAATAACTAATAAATTTAAATAAATTTAAACAATTATGTTAAATTGACTAATGGCAAGACTGTACGTCATCTCGTTTAATTAACGCTTTTATAAGCAAAAGACTCTTTAATTTAATAATAGTAACAAAATATTTTGTGTATTCAAATACATAAAATGTCAAAATAATGAGAAATAAAATAAAATTGAAAACATTTTTGTTCAGTAAAAAATGTATTTTGGTACCAGAAAAAATGTAATATACTATTTCGCTTTACGTTGTGTAATATGTAAGAGAGAAAAAAATTTTATAACTTCAGTATAATCAATAATTTTTTTTATGCGAATTAAGCAGTTTTCATCAAAATTTCTAATAAATAAAAAATAATTCAACAATGTGAATTTTTTTAGTGATTAGTACTTCAGTATAAACAGGTAACTACTAAAATATCTCTATTTTTTAATTGAATCATTTCTAAAACAAATCATTAAGTAAGGACATAACAATTCGCACATCAAATGACAAAAGAAAAAAAAAAGAAAACTAAATCTTAGATGTAAAAAATGAAAAGAAATTAGATCCGAAAAGACTTCAGATTTTCGCATAACTAATAAATATGACATTTACACTCTTGTAGAAGTTATTTGTGTACAAATAATAGTATACAGTAATAATAATAATTACACGATTCATAACACACATTTCTAACGAACAGTTCGTCATTTTTAGTATAAATGTACAAAACAATTAACCATAGTTTATGTAAATAGTCGATTCTGAATTTCTAATTATCCATCTAATAATGTTGTCGAATAAATGTCTATTTCGTTCTAATAAACATTTATCACGTAATAATAGATCTTTTATTCCCCCTACTACAATCATTAATTTATTTACGATGGTATTCATTGAAAATTAATAAAAGTTATTCGCTTAAAAAACAACAAGTTATTGGATACTGAAAAACAACAAGATATTGGATACTGTTTTTGATTATACTTGAAAAAATCGTGTGCGTGATTCAAAAAGTAATTGTTTAAACAAACCAATCTTTTTTCTCATTAAATACTTATCAAATGGTGTTTCACGTTAAGACATGTATATATATATAAATTATTATATGAGTTTCATTACTCCGTTAGTCTTACACTAAATTAATTATGAAAAAGATTCA